ATCTATGTTATCTTCTCCTGGTTGTAGCTTTTCCAGGATACTGGGAAGACTGTTTATGTTGTGGATTAGGACTTCTAGTGTTGTTCCTGTCTTTGAAGAAGTGTAACAGAGTTCTCTGCAGAGGCAAAGATGATGTAACTCAGTTTCACATACTTTGGACATGTTATCAGGAGCGGGCCAGTCCTCAGAAAAAAGATATCATGCTGGGAAAAGTGAAGAGGCAAGAACAAGAGAAGACCCTCAACAAGACTGATTGAGATAGTGACTGTGTCAGTGGGCTTGAGCATATCAGAGTTTGCAAGGATGGCACAGGATAGGACCAAGTTCAGGTGTTGTTCATAGGGTCACTGTGAGTTATTGTTGCCTCTAGGGCATCTAACAATTGGATATTGAAGGAGCACTGGGTGAAGTAGTCCATAGAAAGTGGTGCTGCTAACCAAAAGTCTGCACCTCTCTGCATCTCTCTCTGTAGGTTCAAATTCACTCAGCTCCACAGGAGAATGAAGGTTGATTCTCTCCTATTCATTCAGTTCATAGGCCCCCCGCTGGACGGTCATCTATGAGTTGGTTCCAACTCAATGGGGAAGAGTTTTAATTGAAATTCATGAAGGCTTAATAACTGCATGAATAGTAAAAGTCTACTTCCCACTTAATGTGCATTTGTATGGCACATAATGACCTGTCATAAAGGCTCTGGCCTCAGTTTTAGGACTTCTTTATCAGGTGATCATTTGTGCTAGCGTGTTGTGCACTGCTAATCTGAAGGCTACATCTCTCTGGCAGTTGAATTTCATCAATAGCTCCTTGGAGAAAAGGGTGGACAGTGCTCTCCCATTCAGTTTGCAGCCTTCCAAAAACCCACTGGAGGGTAAACCATGAGTCAGATTGAACCCAACTGCAAAGAGTTTGAGTTGAGTTGTATGTTGAATTACTGCTCTCCACCACTGCCTTCCCTCTGTCCATCACACCCCTCAAAAGAAAGTAATTGGATAATGGATACAGAGTGGTTTGGGTGGAAGGAAAAGAGAAAAAATAAATTTAGTAAAATGGTACATGACTATTGCACTTTTTAAAAAGAGATTTTATGAATAGGTGATGGAAGACTATGCATTCAAATATTTCTCTTTTTTTTTTTTAAGGGAAAGGGAGAGAGGTAGTTAAGCGTCATGTCTGGCAGCTAATTATTAATAAATATTCTTTATCTGGATTTTAGAGGGAAATGGTAATTGACAGCCTTTTTAAAAAAAGCAGTAAATTGTTCATATTTTTCTATGATAGTTACTATTAAATTTATAGACTTTTAATATATTGTAAATCCTAACCATTGAGAATGAGAATGAGAAACTATTGACAATGTCAGTATAATTTATTCATTTTCTGATAAGTAATTGGCATTAGCTAAAATATAAAAACTGAATATTTAATTAGGTCTGAAAAAATTGATATTTCATAAAATATTATGATTTATGGTTTATGACTACTTTGTCTCAAAAATCTAAATCAAGCTGTATATAACTATTTAGGAATTTCTAGTGGCCTAACTGTAAGGAATTGTGCTGCCAATGAAAAGATAAGTGGTTTGAATCTACTACCTGCTCTTGGGAGAAAGATGAACCATCTCCTTAGATGTGATTTACTGCCTGTGAAAACCCACTGAGAGATCAGAAATGGATCAGTTCCAACTCAACAATACCCAACAACTACAACAACATGCCACTCTCTGATCAGATCTACCTGGAAATTAAACTTGACTCAGCAAGCATAATTAATGTCCTGGCTTGAAATTCAGCTTATTTTGAAAATGCAAATGTATGGCTAGGCTTTATTAGTGGCCACTAATGACTATCTCCACTGGACAGTGAATAAGGATGACAGGAGAGGAATTGACACCTTTGAGTTGTGTTGTTGGAGAAGAACACTGAACATCCCATGGACAGCCAAAAGAACAGACATATGTCTTGGAGAGGGCACAGCTGGAGAGCTCTTTGAAGGCAAAGATAATAAAACTTTGCCTCACATACTTCGGGCATGTTGCTAAGAGGAACTGTTCCTTGCAGAGGGGCATGATGCTCAGAAAGGCAGAATGTCGGTGAAGGAAAGGAAGACCCTGGCCCAGGTGGATTGACATGGTGACTGCTGCAGTGGGCTCTAATGTGTCAGAAAGTTATGAGCATGGTGTAGGATAGGACAGGTTTCACATCTGTTGTTCATAGGGTTGCTGTATGTCAAACTCAATTCAACAGCACCTAATTACAACAACAATGATCTATAATGAAAGTAAAACCTTTAGGAAATAATTACCTGCTTACATGCTGTATAAGTAGAATAATCATTGAATTTCTAATCATCTTCCCTGTTGATTATTAAGGTTAAAATAAATTGTTTTAGGAAGTAGTAAGAGCATTTCCTTATATGTAAATATAATTTATGTTAATTGCAAGTACTTTTCATCATTAGTAGGGTAACCTTTCCCAGCTTTTAAAAATAAATATGAAAGTAGTTCTGCACTTAACAATAAAGGAACCCTTGTGTCACTAGTAGTTAAGAACTCCCTGGAGGAAAGATATGTCTGCTTCTATAAAGATTACAACCTTGAATATCCTATATATTAGTTCTGCTCTGTCCTGTGTTGTTGTTGTGTACTGTAGAGTCTAAAGTAACCCATAGCTGACCCTTTGGTGGGTTTTCATAGGCAGTTCATAACAGGAGGAGATTGCCCATCCTTCTCCCGTGGAGCAGCTGGTAGCCTCAAACCGTGCCTGTGGGATTGCAGCTCAGCTTCTTTCCATTAGGCCACCAGAGTTCCCTACTTTATTCTATTGTTGTTGTTATGTGCTGTCAATTAACTTGCGACTCATAGAGACCCCGTGTACAGCAGCTCTGAACCCTGCTCTATCTTGAGCCAATCACATAATCTCTGACACACCTACCACCACTATCCCAGTCACTGAGTCAGTCTCTCTCATTCAGGGTATTCCTCTCTTACAAAGTCCCTCTACCCTTCCAAGCATGACATCCCTCTCCAAAGACTGGTCCCCTCTTGCAGCATGCCCAGAGTATGTCAGACAGAGCTTCTCAATCCTTGCCTCCAAGGAGCAGCCTGGTTTTACCCTCCCTAGGACAAACCTGTTTGTTCTCTTAGGAATCCATAATATATTCAGTACTCTTCTCCAGCACCACAGCTCAAAGGCAACAATTCTCCTTCTGTCATCCCTACACATTTTCCAGCTCTCTGATATATAGCAAGTGATTGCAAAGACCATGTCCTGTATCAGGCACACCTTCGTCTCCAGAGTGACATCATTGCTCTTTAGTACTTTGGAGAGGTCTCTGACAGCAGACTTTCCTACTATCATTTTGAAGCATTAAAACAAACAAACCTAATAGCAAACTTGTAGCTGCCAAGTCCGTTCCAGTTCATGGCAAGCTCATGTTACAGTGCTGAGCTGCTTGCTCCTTAGGGTATCGGACTGCAACCTTTGAGGATACAGATCATCAGTCCTTTCTTCAGCACTGCCAACGGGTGGATCCAAACTGTCAACCTGTAGATTCATATCTGCTTGCAAACCATTGGTGCCCCCTCAGGGAACCTAACTTGGAAGAGTTACATGTTCTTAATATAGCTCTGGTTATCTAGTACTTTTGTTTGTTTGTTTCCCTTCGAGTCAAGCACAACTCATAGTGGTCCCATAAACAAAAGGCCTGACTGAAGGCCCTTTACAACCATCAACGTTTATCAAAGTTCATAGAGTTTTGGGAGGCATGTTATTTAGGAAATGGGTGCTACTCCTGCTTCCATATCTAGTGTATAGGAGACCATTTTCTCAGTTAAAATACACGTTTTCTACAAGTTGATAGCTGTCACTACGCTTATTTGGACTATCTGTGGCTTTTGCCAGCAAACCCCTAGCAGTAGAACCAAAGGGAAGTGGGAGCAGAATCAGTACTAAAGGAGTTGATACACGTCCCTTTACATTGTTTCCATAATTTCCTCAGAAATTATTTCTGGTGCAGGGACCAACAGGTTTGCCTAGATGTGATAGATAGCCCTGTCTTCTTCCCACGTTCCCAGGCTCTCTCTGGGCTAGCTCTGTTCTAAGTAAAGGCTAATTGGATCAGTGGATTCCTGTGCTGTGCTCTGTCTTTATCCCCGTCTTACGTGCGTGTGCCAAGCCTCTGCAATGTTCTCTACGCAGGTCTGTCCTGTACTGACCTTGTTTTTGAGAACAGTGCTATTAACAGTTCTATCATCCCTGCATCGCCTAGATAACATCTATCACTGCCGCCTCAATCCCTGTCTGCCTCCCCCGGGTCAGGTATAATAAAACATTCAGTAATCCTAAGTATCGCATGGAACATTTCTGAGGGGGAAAAAACTCTGTCACTTCAGAAATTTAAAAATGTACTCTGGCAAAAAGTTTCATTTTGCACTTTGTGGCTTTGGAATTCTGCCTCATCGTCAGGTTTGTGATTACAATCTTAATATTTTGTTTTCTTCCTAGCCCTTGTAGTAGCAGTTCTGCGCTTCATACAACTGAAACCAAAGGTTTTAAACCCGTGGCTGAATATTAGTGGATTGGTGGCTCTGTGTCTGGCTTCCTTTGGAATGACCCTCCTTGGTAATTTTCAGGTACTTCACATGGCCTTTTTCACCTACCTCTCACACTGGTAAGGTCTTCAACAGTATTATTATCATAACCCATGAGGCTGCTCTTGCATGCATTAAAAAGATATCTTTTTT